TCTATTAGGAATAAATCATTGTCAACATCATTCCATAAATTGGAGTAAAACAAAATATTCCAACTTTATGAGCGACAGCGTATGTTGTTACTTTCTATTAAAGTAAAATGAGATATTGTGGAAAGCAATAGATTATCTTATATTATCTTTAATATCTAATAGATTATCTTATCAAATAGGAGGTTGAATATGGAGAAATGTTACATGTATATTGGAATCACTCGTATAAGACATTTGTTGAATGAGCATGGTAAATTTTATTTACATATGACATTTATTCAAAAATATAAAGTTCAATGTCATTTTCTTGACTACTACTCATTAATCCCTGCACTTCCAAGAGAATGAAGAAAAGGTTTCCAAAAGCACCAAGCTGAAAGCAGGACACCCCAAGAATAATTATTGCATAAGTTAAAGGACGTTTTGAAAGTATGCAAATATGTTCATCAAATATCTGTTGACAAATCCTTAAAGTTCAAGACTGGAGGAAGCTTTACACTATTCCTTAATAATTGCCTTTTTTTTTCTACTTCAGATGATAATTAGTTGAAACTGATTTCATGTTTTAAAAAGTGGTATTTTATTACTTAAAAATCATTTTTCAGATGGATTCATTTCAAACCAGTTTTCATTTCTATCCAACGAAAAAAACAGTTGCCATTTACATTTGGAAAAGAAGGCTTTATGGTAACAGCAGCAGGAATACAAATTGGAATTGTTCTAACTCATTTATTTAAACCAGCTGGTCAACTGAAAAATCTTATTATCTTAACATCTTATGCAAACGTTTGGTATGCCAATCTTTCGCAAAACCCAAAAACTAATTTGAAACACGATAAACAGATGTTATTGTTAACGAGAGTGGTAATCGAACTTTGCAGTACTTAGGGTCAAAAGAATGGAATCAATTTGAATGCTGGACAAAGTTCAGCCCCTTCACTCAATTGTTTACTACAATGTTTGTATAACTTTGTTGTGCTATCCGAACACATTACCGCGTAAGGATTATTAGAAATATTCATGAACAGATAAAGAACCTCTTTCTCCCTATTTCCATCCCTAGAACTACCTACATGAAAACTGCCAACTTAATACATGTTATAAACACCAGCCTTCAAAATTAAGATTGCGCACAATTGATTAATTTAAAAAGGCGCGCCGACTCAGTGGTAGAACAGTACACACGTAACTAGGAGGTCCCGGATACGACAACAAGTCCATGCGCTCGTGCCTTTTGGTAAGGCATCAATCCTCACTCGTAGAGGACTGAAAGCCGCTGGTCCACGTATTGTTTACTTACAAGCATTTAAATGCTTTCTTAGCAGTCAGACAAGAAAATAGCGAACCAATGTTGCGAATAGTTAACCAGGATTTTTTGTTTGAATGATTGAATTTATTCTCAATTGTTTCAGTTATTAACCATACACAGAAGGAAAGTAATAATAATAATAATAGCTCGTTCTTATATAGCGCTTTTCAGGACCGAAGACCCTCTCAAAGCGCTTTACAGATAAGTATATTATTACCCCGGTCATTTGATTCAGGCTTTCCTGCACACAATGTATGCACATTCTCCACTAAACATGATCGACTTTTACACAATGATTGATATTCCGAACATAAGTTTATGTTTTGCAGTTTGTATAAGTTACATTTAAAGCTTATCTGCCATAGTTTACAGGACGGATTAGACCGCCCTACAAGGTCACTGGACAGGTGGTTTTCTTATCAACTCAGCTCTCAGTTAACATAAGAAAAAGAGGATCATGGGGGAGCAATGGTCACCGATTAGGCATTGTTTGTTGTATAGAGGGCGCAAGTAGCTACAAGTAGTGCAGTGGGCCTTTAAGTTACATTTAACGACATTTATAATAGTATCATTTCCATAAAATGATACTACTTTGTGAATAAAGACATTATATATTTTATATTTAATTTCAAATATTATACATTTTATTTTAATTCCACATTCAAACAATCGAGAGATAATTCTCGCAGAAATAAAGCAGTTACTGGTGATAAACATTAAAACGAAGAGCCTGCCCCCTGCATTTATTTTATATATCGCATTACTTTAAAAAGGAGGGGGAGGTGAAGGATGAAAATGCTAACATAAAGTGCAGTCATCTTTGTTAGGTTGTTATGCTCTAATTAAAAGCGGAATTGGCTCATGAGGTGAAGAGTTAAGTAATTAGTCGCACATATTTACTATGAATAAATTGATTTAGTGGTCATTCAGTAAAAGTATTATGCAAATATTTATAATGGCCTTAAAAATACGCTCAGCTTATTATAGAAAAAGTTATTCCTTCATACAAAATTCTGTCACCTGTGTTAATGGAACATGTCGAACTGAAATTATATATAATTATGCATAAAGAACGTACATAGCATCTGTACTTAACATAACGCATTTATCACTCACTACTTATAACCTTTTTTGGTGTTACGTTTTCCTTCGCAAAAAGAGCATATTTTCTGTATATTACTATTGATTTAAAATAAAACAATTATTCAACTTCTCGTGCTTTGTTTGTGTGTTGATTTGTATATGTGATGATATATCGTTAGTATCCTTTGACTCTGACCTAAAGAAGGGTGACAGAGTCTACATTTAAATATAATCAATGCCAATTTTAAGAAACTATCAGAATGCAGAAATTAACCAGATTGCCCATTGTTTATTAAAGCGTATTAACTAATCAAGGCACAACCACAAGTTGACAAACTTTGTAAAACTAGTTCATATACCTTTTGGTTGCTCAATGTCACACTCACCTACCCCGTACAATTCCCATATAATATGGAGATAAAAACACACACCCTCAAATAAAATCAATATCATTGTGTAAATGAATCATTCATTTAAACTTCAAGACTGGATAAATTTTAGTCATATATACAGCATGCAAACCACGATATTTGGCGCTACTTAAATTACAATAGAACCAAACAAAATAGCTATAGAAAAACATTTCCATTTATAAATGATTGTAACAGCATAACGATGCAAACAATAAAAATCTACTACTTCAAATATGCACTTAACCTTTAAACAAATCCATTATTTCCCGTACAGAAAACTACTTCCTCTAGTTTATATAAACTGAACTATTATCCATTTTCCATACAAACAAGGTATCCTCTGATAGTAACTATTACTCAACTGATGAATTAACTTCTATTTTTCAAAAAAACAAAACATAAATTTAGTTTACTTCACGTAAATGCTAGAAGTTTAAGCAACACGTTTGATTCTCTGCAAACATTGTTGCATGCCCTACATAGTATTCCCTTTTCTACCAAAGGTGTCACTGAAACTTGGTTTAATAACACTTCGCCTAATTTTATCTTGCAAAATGATACAGTGATCAAACTAGATCGCGGAGAAATAAGAGGAGGGGGTGTCGCATTTCTCATGGATAACAAAACAATTCTACAATCGATACACACAAGAAATAAACTGTATAAGGATTATTAAACGAAATCTACTAATCACGACAAAATCAAATATAAAACATACCGATATATATTGACTAACATTACTCGAAATTCTCGAAAAAGTACTATTTCGACAAACTTGTATAGAGTGAAATCAAATATGAAATCTACCTGGGGGGGGGGGGGATTGAGGATTTTATTGCAAAGAAAATTAAAACAATGCCCAATTATACTTTAACAATATATGATACAGTTATAAATCTGAAGATGTAGCCGATACCTTTAATTCCTATTTTGTAAACATAGGACCAATTTAGCAAATAAACTTAATACACCGAACGAAAATTTTACTACATTTCTTTCTGAACCTTCAAATTCATCACTGCTTATCAATCCCGCTGATCCTAATGAAATAACCGAAATATCAAAAAGTATAACATGAAGTAACTAACATGTCACGATATATTTAGTGCTTTCCTTTTTAAATACACCATACACTTTATCGCTTATCACTTAACTCCCATTATTAATCTATCAGTTAATACCGGGAAATGTTCCGAGTCCTTAATAATTGCTAGAGTTACAGGGATGGATCCAGGGGGGGGGGGACACAGGGGACACGTGCCCCCCCCCCCCCCTCCCGGCCCCAAAAAGGGGTTAAAATCAACCCAAATTCGCCAAAAATGTACTTACAAACAGGGACGTGCCCCCCCCCCCCTCCCTGCGGTCAAAAAATAAAATAAAATAAAATTAGTGCGCACTGAGCAAATTTGCAGCCGGCGCAATTTCAAATATTCGGGTGCAAAAAGGAAAAAAAAAGTGCTCTTACCCCCCCCCCCCCCCCCCCCCCCCCCCCCCCCCCCGCTTATTCAGCGGCTAGCTGAGTCGTTACGATTTGTGGGGGACCAAAACAAATATATATATATAAGAAGAAAAGAAAGAAAATCAAATTAAATCAAACAATACAACATCATTTCTCAATTTGCAAATTTAGAAAAAGATAACTGTCTGCCGATACAAAATATCTTCAACTACCTGCCGAAAAATAATATCACGCTTCTTAAATATCTTTAGTACAGATATAATGTTCTTTGTTTTTCAATCCTGATTCAAAGAAAACAAACCAATCGCATTTTCTTCTTTTACTGGATGTTTGTAAAATTATGGTGTCTTATTCTACTGTCTTAACGATTAGCTACAAGTTCTTGATTCATCCATTAACAGTGTCAAATTATTTGAACAACCGTGCTCACGATGTAACAGCACTATGTTTATGATACATATGGGTACAAAGTATGGACGTTAGAAGGTCACTCGGTGGTGTAAAAATACTGTACATTTCATGTCCAACTATGGATAGAACCGAATAACAATGCAGTATCAATTTCAGTCCGTAGTAATGGCCTTTCATTGTAAACCAATAGTTAAACAATATTTAAAACTATCGGAAAATTGCGATGAAACGAGCTCTGATTGGCTATCTAAGGTAACGGTAAATTACTCATTTACTCTTTACTCATCTGCGCATGCTAGAAGCCACATACATACAGTTGACCGATCCTCTTCTATGCAGACAGAAAGAATTTGTTCGGACGCTCTTATTATTTTAGCGATTATCCCGTAATTACCGGCTGGCCAGAAGCATATTTTACCGTTACCTAAGACAGCAAATAAGAGCTCGTTATATTTTGCGCGTTGTAACTTTTAGTTTCCGTTTATATTGTTCGATTTCTGTTTTCTGTTTATTCTTGCATTTTACTCTGATGAGTGTAAGACGAAAAGTTTCAGTATGACTCCTTTTAACGCGATTTTCCGATGTTGTAATACCAATCATCTTTTCATTAAAACATGTATTGGTATGAAATATACATTTCTGAAATAAAGATATGTTAAGCTGTAATAAAAGACTTCATTATAAGATGTATTAAGCTGTAATAAAAGACTTAAAAAGTCAACAGTATATCTTACAATATTCAGTAATATTAAGCCAAATATGTGTTGTTATCACAGTGAATATATCTTAGCCTTTGCGGTTGTAGGCGTACGTGACATTTTTGTTTAGAAGTTGTGCCTAATTGGCTAACTTGTTCTTCCTCGTTACTCTTTTCTCTTCTTCTAATTCGATCTCATGGCGCAACTCAAATATGCGATCACCATCTTTGACGCATTTGTGCAACAGTTTGAGGAGATTCTCTTGGTACACAGGTTCCAAATCCTTCTTCTCGTTCGTGATATTGGCGACTTCATAGACATCAACTATCCCAGCCATCCTGAGCGCAAGGCGCATATTGTCGAGTTGTTCTGGAGTAGCATCATCCACGTGAGTGATTACGGCAAGCGGGAAACGTCCTATAAATTACAAATGAAGACGAAATCATGTTGATTGTTGATTTATGAACGTAAAACAACAAAAATGTTAATGGCGTAGTGGATAATGAAGTCGGAAAATTCCAAAAGGTTCAAAACGATCCATCGTCAATACAGTAAGGAAACACTGCTTAAAACTATTTTTCTGAGGTAATAGGAGCACAGAAAGTATTTTTTTTTATTAAAAAATAATGTTCCATCCATTAAAAAATATTTGTATCAGTATTTTCGTACTGCTAATGTTATATATGTCAGTAGACTATCACGTTATTAGGGATTATCTTCCCATTTGTCTTGTGCAAAGCATCTAATCTCATTTAGGCAAGACTAAAACATTATGTCCTGGATAACAAGTTATGTTAGGTCCTGTAAAATTAATTATAAAGAAACTCCTATGCCGCACGTTACAGTATCATTACTGATTCAGCCCATTCGAAATTCCCATTAGAAGAGTGATGACAACTATAAACCATTCAAAACCTTCGTATGTTTTATTCGATTTCATTCAAGCTCTATGCTTCTTTCATTTCTGCTTTATTTCATAATAATTAAGGGGGTTTAAATTTCATTAAAGTATGAACCTTATAGCCCACATAGTTTTAATGAAACAGAGAGTAAAAACAATATTTAGACTCATTGTTTATCTGACTGAATACTGGTTCGTGGGAAAGATTTAGTCCCAAAGCAGCTCCTTTATATATTTTGTATGTAAATGTTCAGAAGAGAATAAATGAAGTTTAAATATAGAAATTTCACTGTCAGAGTGTTTCGAAATATATTAGGGGCCAATATGAGTTTGGTTTTGACATGCATGTTGTATTTGCTATTTCACAACCCTTCCACTTTTGTCACTTTCAGGACTCCTTTAAAAATCCTTAAGAAATCCCAAACACAAGTTTGCTCCTAGTTACGTTGATAGAGATTCTACCAATCTTAACATTTGATTGACAATCTATTGTTCGGACATGGCTCAGTCATCAAGTTGTGAAAGTAACTTCCGTTAACTTTTATTTGGCATTCTACATGTTCCTTCGGGTTTCACTCTTACAAGGTTCGGGTAATTACAAGTGGTTTTCCTCTTGTTTCCAATGACCACTTTCCTTTGGTAGAATTAAACTTAAGAAAGTTCATGTAACAGTTTAAAACACAATTAATCAAATAAATTACCTTGCCACTTCAGAAGACGTTCCACGAATTTCCCGATAATTGTATGGACTGCTGTAACGCTCCTAGCACTGTGCAGAACAAATGTTTGAAAAAATGTCAAAAATTCAGCAGAATATTAAGCAGTTTCATAAATGTTTTTTTTCAAGCATAAAGGTTAACACCTTTTTTACTTTTTAAATTAACCAGTTTCGTAATGTAATCAAATTTAATGCAAGCATCTTTTTGTAATGGCTCGTTAGAAATGATTTCAATCACCTGTGACGAATTATTATATGTCAATGTTCAGAATGCAAATCGAATATATTCCGTGTTGTTAGGTAGGACAAGCTATGATGTTTGTCCTATCTAGTAAACATTAATATATGCGGTGTATGCTGACCCTAATCTCTCTTATAATTAATTTCATAATGTTTTTCTTACATCATGTAATAATTATTTACCTTTACAAATGGTAACTATTAAAAAGAAACGTGTTTTCAGGTAAGGAGATACTTTCACCGACATACATCGCAAAGCCTTGACTGGTATTGCAAGGGGTTTAGGCTGCGCATGTGCAAGCCGAGAAGTCTGTTCAATATACCGAACTGGCCTTGCAAGAAAATGCATAAACACCGCCAGTAGCGTACGCAGGATTTGTTCAAGGGGGGGGGGGGGGGGGGGGGGGGGGGTTAACATTTTTTAATCGGGCCGAAAATTTCGCAACGACTCAGCCAGCCGCTGAATTAACGGGGGGGGGGGGTAAGAGGACAATTTTTTTTTTTTTTTTTTGGTCTCGAAATTTCAAAATTTGACATTTGTTCCGTTTGGGGGAGGGGGTAAGGTCAACTTGTTTAGGTCAGTCATTAGCATAATTGTTTTTTTCACAAAGGGGGGAGGGGGGGGGGTCTCCAAAATACACACATAACAAAAACTGAAGGGGGGGTTCTTCAAAAACTATGCAAAATAGATTTTTGTTCTTCTTCTTTCTTTTCCTTCCTTTTATTGTTTGGTTAATATTCACACGTGAATGATACGCGGCGTTAACATCTGAAACAACAACAACGCAATAAGTCATGCAATACACTACAACACTTGTCGTTGTATCTATACATATATAAGCTGTCATCAAGTCAAATGAAATCAACCATATTTAAGAACTAGTTATTTTGACACCTTTTCCCCAATGCCCTTAAATGGCTGGTATTTGGCAATACTATAGGCCTGTTCAATTCACACCTCGAGATTCAACAACTTAGTTGTGTTGATAAAAACCTGATAGGAAGCAGCTAACAATAGTTGATTTCATTTTCTTAACAGGAAATAGATTTTCCCCAAAATCACAATCAAGATTCGGGATACTCACCTAAAAACAAGAACAGTGCAGTATATCTTCTTTGTTTCATCCACCTCCAAGTCATCTGGACGTGATGATTTACCCCACTCCACTTCACTAGCAAACGAGCGCTTTCCCTCTGTTTGAAGAAACCAGATAATCATGTAAATGTTTAACAATTTATATTTTATCCCCCACTTTTTTTAAGGGGAATTCCACCACGATATGATGTTGATTGTCATGGAAGCAGATTTATAAGAGAAACAGGTGAGTGACAGTTTAAGCAAAAACCGACTGAAAACAAAAATTGTGCATTTTCAAAGGTGCGATCGATCAGAAAACAATTGGCAAATCTTTGACGAATTTTGTGAGATTCTTTCCCATATGCCCTGTACTAAATCAAATCCACAAATATTTGTTCCCTTAAATAAAATGTTCAACCATACATGCATCCTAGATATAATTATTGCAACATGTTTTATACAACATCTGAATGAAGCAAATCTATTCCGTTATCATTAACTAAGAAAATGACATTTATACTAAAAACAATGTAGTATGAAGCTAATTGGAGAGGAACTCGAGGGAAACGTCACAGTGATGCCAATTTAAGTTTCACGGATGACAACTTTAACGATCCATAACTTTCTGTTTTTCAAACGGATATTGCTTAAATTTCCAATCATTTGTTTCTCTCATTGTTCTCCTTTAATGAAAACCGAGTTCATATCAGGGTGGACTTCCCCTTTAATTTATCACCAACACTCATGATGTGGAGACCGTAGACAGAATATGAAAAAGGTTCCGCGAGAATGAAGGTCCCCAAGACCGAATGTCCGCGAGATTGCACGTGTAAATAATATGGTGCAAGCTATCTATCTTGTGTCATAAACCGACCGGCATGCGCGCACACTTCATTCCTTAAGAATCAATAAATATGTTTTATGTTACTTTATTAAGTTAAATTTATTATTTGCATAGGTCACATTTGCTCTCCGGTTAGGATACGGCGGCCGTAGGCCCCCGAGATCAAGAGATACCTGTGGCGGCTGCAGAGAATTTGCGGTGGCCTCAGGGTCACCCTAGGGTATATCCCTAGCTTTACATGCCGTACGGGTCGCCATGGGACTATAACGCGGAGTTATAACTTTTTCATTGGTAAGTTCGCCATAGCAATTATACAATTAGACACACCGTAGCCATGCCATAGAGCGGTTCCGCGGCAACCATACGCCGGGCGTACGATAGCATTGCGGCTACCTCGCATCTGCCTTGGTATTTTTAAGGGACGCCCTAAGGCGACCGTGCGTCATCACTTCATGGGCTGTACGGCAACCGCTGATTTCTTGTCAGCACAAATTCAAAATACGCAGTGGGGCTACCCTAACTCAATATGTCTGCTACCGTATGTGACTGTAGGAATGCTGCGGCGGCCCTATACTTGCTATCGGCCTGAGATATTTTAGACCCCACGGCCGCCGCGTCAAATGTGACCTAGGCATAAGTCTACTCTATCAGAAATTCAGTTGCCGTGTTTTTCCCACCCACCAGAGGGGCAGAAGATAACCTACATTATGAGTAATTGGTATTAAATATATGCAATATACGACATGACTAGTCTAAAAACCAAGCAATTGTATTTATTCAAGTGGTAACATGTAGGGTAATAATAAGTTCGAAAAGAGACACGTCGCGTACTCGCAAAAGCATGAATATTCGTTATTTACCGGCATGTACACAAAATAAGTGTCAACCGTACACTTCGGAGATTAGATAACTAGTATCTACGAAAGTACTCAAAATGCGATAACGTGATTATGAGAAAATATACGAGAAAAATGTATAAACATACATATGTATCAATCTGTTTACGTGTGCATAATGCATATTGTAAAATGGTTTCAAGAATGTAGCCAATGAGAAGCGTCAACACGGATCACGTGATCGTGCATTATTGGTTACTATATGCACGGTACCATCTGCATGTAGTGCATTAGGGATTATAAATATGGATGAAGGTTGCTTAGAGACATTTTATGGCCTTGCTAAGTAAGATTGTCGACCCATTTTATAAAACAAAAAATACACAGGTTTTCGTTCGTGACGTTATGGCGATGCAGCGCTATTCGGGTATTCACAATGGCACAAAATACACTCGGCTACGCCTGGTGAATTTTATTGCACCATAGTGAATACCCTCGAACTCACACCTGATTATTATTTGTATACTGTCGTTTCAAAGCGTCACAGTGGAGAGGGAAAAAGGGGGACTGAGGAAGATAAATAAAGGTGGAGAGGATGAGTTAAATAGGATATTGATGTAGAGAGAGAGAGAGAGAGAGATATTGGAGGTTAGTAGTTCTGAAAAGAAAAGAAAAACCAATATTAAAAACTACTTGATTTTATATGAAAAATGGATGATAAGGAAAAAAGTAAGACAGGAAGTGGGACAAGAACATAGAGAGGCATTTATGCAACATTGTGATTGTATCCACTCACCTAATTGAATTATGAGTTCATCTGCAGCACCTTCCTTCACAATGTCTTCCGCCCCTATACCTCGATTGTCCACAAACGTCAGGTATCGTGTGACCCTCACTGCCATTCGTCGAGTAGTGTGACCACCCTCAAAATCGTCTGGCGCGGCTTGCTCTCGGTGAGTTTCTTTCAACTCACCTTTTACTGCGAATTTCAAAGAGTTCATCAAGGACGTTTTACCTATCCCAGTTGCCCCATACAGACCTATGTTAAGGCGTTTTGGAAATTTAATATCGTCATCAGGAAACTCAAATGATCCGCCAGGTTTAATTTTCTCGATTTCGGCGCGCAGTTCTGCGATATTTTGCATCCTTTTTTTTTCTATTTCAGCTCTTAATTTTTCTTGTCTTTCCTTTTCTTCTCTGATCCTTATTTTCTCTTCTTTTTCCTTTCTCATTCTTTCTTCTATTATTCTTATTTCTTCTTCCTTTTCCTTTCTTAGTTTTATTTCTTCTGCCCTAGCTTGTATGTCTTCCTTATTCTTTCGGTCGATATCCATCTGCTTTAATTGATTCGCAAGTTTTTCTAATTCTCTTTTGTGGCGATCATCTTTCAGCTGTTGTTCCATAGCTTCTCTTTCCCTTTCTTCGCTTGCTTTTCTCTCCCTCTCTTCCCTAGCTTCAGTTTGCTCTCGAGTCCATACTTCTAAAGCTTCTTCCCTCTCTCTTGCATCGCTCCTCATTTGTCTTGCATTGCTCTTCAAATCATTAATTTCAGATGACTGGTCATTCCCCATGTTTGAATTTCACTGCTAAATTCTAAAACTATGAAATTAGTGTGGATATTTCAGCAGGCAACTACTCGTCTGATTATGCTTGCGCTTTGCGGATATTTTTATAGCTTGATATCGTGTTTACTTTTCAATCTCGAATGCGATTGGACAGATTTGTAGCGGGGTGCAAAATAGCCGCCGCACGATTATTTTTTTCCTCGTTTTCGGAATCAAATTTCGACGGAGACATCAGTCTAGCAGGTTATACCCGAAGGCAACGGACATGGCTGACGAAGCACACATTGGAGTCCTCTCCCTTGGCTGGGAAGAATCGATTGAACGTCACTTGATGTCAACTATTAGGACGTGTAAAACAAAATTGGAATTTATTTCTCTTGCTCCAACTGATCTTAACGTGTATACGGCTCCTAAAAAGTTTGACGCGGTTCTTATTGCATTCAACTACAGAAGGGAGACTTTCTTTGACAGATGTACCGGATGCCAGATATAAAACATTGCTTCCAACTCTGTCGAAGCAATATGGTAAGAAACGTTTACCCTTTTCATTTCAAATGTCCACATAGTTTAATCGCCAACGTTCTTGACCGTTTCATTGACTGATTGATTGGTTTATTTTATTCATATTCCATGCACAATTATGAAAGCATAATATGTTTACAAACAAAATTATAATTTCTTGAAGTGATATGAAATTAAATTAACCTGAATAATAGTAATCATAAGGGCAATTCCACGGTAACGGAATTACATTTCAGAGAAATTTAGGCTCTATTTTGATATACTGTAGACATGTGGTTAGACCTGGTGATTATTTATCTTGTTATTCTTTCTGTATTATGCACCTGTTAGCAAATCAAATTTAAAAAAATTATTTGTCAACATTCGGAACACCCCAGGACCATATAGAGTAAGAGGTAACTTGTTTAGAATTGTAGGCATTGGTTCGAGGTGAAAAGGCGGACATCAATGAATTTACAAAGATAATCATTAATAGGAGATAACTATATATTAGTTCGATGTTCATACTGTTAGAGAAAAAACCTTAAAAGGTATTCCTTAAACCATATATGGTTGGTCTCTCTTGCAAATCATTAGAAAGGGAATTCCAAATTGTATAAGTAAGTACTGTTCTCATTTTTGAAGGTGATAGCAGCCCGCTAGCCTGGCGGGGTAACTGTGTAATTTTGCATTTTGTTAAAATAACTTCCGGTAACTTGTTAGTACTGGCCGAAAACACAACATATCCCCACCCATAAGAAAACACATCCCGTATCTTTAACATTTTGTTTGAGTAATAGAGTAATCGAAAGTCGGAATGACTCATAATATGAATGGCCTTTTTTTCTGAAGATGTAAGATTCTGTCCAATAACGAGCCTGCACAGTTCCCCACGGCTAGAATTCCATAACTCAAATACCAAGGAACAAGACAGAGTGTAAATTCCTTAACATTTGTGTTGAAAAAAGTATTTAACTTAGTGAAGTATACCAATATATATTTATGAAAAATATATTCCACATGTGGTTTTCATGATAACCCCTCATCCGATATTATTCTTAAGAATGTATTAGTAGAAACCCTTTCAATAACAGTGTTATCAAGAAGAAGAATTGCAGGTACATTATTAATAAAATTATTATACAACAAATATTCAGTTTTAAATTAAGTTATGACTTATGTAATTTATACCTGAATAAACACCATCAATAACAACATATTGTTTTCTATTTTGGAGGTAGTCGTAAACTACTCCAATGCCTTTCTTCTTTTTCCATATTCGGAGAATAGGAAATGACGGTTTATCGTATCGAAATTGTTGAAATTTGTATGTTACATCATAAGATTTTTTATTTTAAATAACTGGCTCGCTTGTTGTCTATAATATCCAAATCATATATTTGTGTTTATTTGTTTTATGCTCCTGAAAGAAACAAAATCAATGATATAAATCCTATTATATATCTTTAAGAATCTTTTCTAATACTGTCATCTGATTGGTTGAAAGGGAGGTCGTGTTTTTTAACTATGCCCGCAAAAATGTTATCAAGTCCGGGAAGATAATTATCTTCGTCAAGTCGAGGCGAGACAGATAATATTATATTATATTATATATGCTGCCGTCATGTTTTCAAGTTCTGATTCGTCATGTGGACGGCCATGCATTATGGCTCGAGGCATGGGCACACAGAAGATTTGTTTATGTTGGGAACCGGGGTAAAATGCAATAAAATATTGAAAAATGATTGCATTTTCTTTGTTTTTATTTATTTATGGAAACTGCCCCCTTACCCTAGCCCCCGCTGCGTACAGTCATGGTTCAGTGACAAAGCAATGGCCTCGTAACTGTGAGGCCCCAGGATCAAAACCGTGTCGATGTGCTATATTAGTGCCCTTTTGAGGGGCATTAATCCTCATCACTGTCATTTATGGCTGAAGGGCGTAGGTCCCCTAGTTGATAAGCATAGTAGCATACACATGCTTTGGCAATCACGCAAAACACACATTGTCAAATTATTATTCAATACAATCTGAGAATGTATACTATTATCTAGATCTATTATTTTTAAATTATTGTTTAAATAATTCCATAAATTGGGGTAAAACAAAAATATTCCAACTTTATGAGCGACAGTGTAGTTGTTTCGAGCCACTCCAGGGACTCACATACATATACATCCGGTTTATGGTGCATGCATATACTGTAGCGAGCGCGTTACAAGTATTATGCATTTGTAGTATACATATCCGAAAGCTATTTCTAGATTTCTCTCTTCTACCTGATACTGACTTCCTTAGGATTTCTTACAAGTCCATGGTTGTTCGAAATTGAATACGAAGGGAATCCCTGTGCATGTAATTGATCTTTGTCAAAATGCTGCATACAGAGTATCGATCGTGCAGTGATTTCACACTTGTTTGACCTCAGAGCAACTTTTTCCAGGTCGCAGGCTGTAAGGATTTTTACCCAAGTCAAATCTCTCATTCAGGGATATCTCCGAAGTTTATTTTCGTTTATGTTCACGCGACAGGCGCACAGCATAGAAAGTATCGCACCATATATGCCAACTGACAATTCAGTTAGTAAAAAATAAAAATAAATGCTTACGATATATTATCAAAACAGCCAAAGAGAAAATGAAAGATACCACCATCCAACTTTTGCAACGCGTACATAGACAGCTAGCTCGGTGACTACTGACAAGTCTGGCTGCCATGCCGTCTCGCGCCGGCAAATACCGCACAAAATAGACCGGAAGCGACGTAGTCACCAAATTTTCCCAGAAAGCATTTGAAATGGGGGCATGAAACAAAGATCCCAGCATTTGGAGGTACTAGCGATATGGCGATTGTTATAATCATCTTACTGTGAAAGTCATCAATCCGGGGGATGTCTGAGGACAATTATGCTAGGCATTAATCATCCTCAGTGTGTACCGGTAGTGTTTGGGTTATTATTAAGCCGATTTGCTGCAACGGAAATCCACATACATGTACGCACATCCGTCCAACTAAAGCAGGAATGTGGTATACTTTTACAATGGTTGGACTTTTAAATACAAGTCTCCACTGTAGGTGTGCGATTGGAGAGGCAGATTTATCGCAGTGTGCGCTGTGTGATCGATGGTGTATTGTTTTATTCATAACGATATCACAGGTAATTTCACGATTATTTCTAGTGGAACCGCTAGCGAAGAGTCTATCTAGACGTGTTAAATTGCTGAACGTGTACTGATGATGAGAATATACTGATGACTTGTTTTCGATAGTAAGTGGTCGTGTGAGTGTGTATGTTAACGATCATAAATTATATAAATATAAATTACTTCAAAATATTTATTGGGTGCCTGGGAGGTAGTATGAGGAACACTCATCGCCCGGAGTCACTGCAGTGCATGTGAGTTTCATCCAGACTGAGTCAGTTACTTCGCATAAGATTTCAAAACAGCTCAGTATACATATATTTTTTTTCTTCTTCTGGTAATACCCTTCCACATTGCTTCCACACAGTTTCTTTCACAATTTCATCGCATTACCATTGCTTAACTCTATCTTTAATCACAGCATCAACTAAGCGCCTGATTAATATAATTGCTTTAGATGATGAATACGTAATGCATGGAAATTCATCCGAATGATAAAATCTTAAGCAATCAAAATCGACAGGTCGACGGTATGTTATTAAATGGTTATTATTAAAAGTTAAATTACGGTAAGCGTGTCACTGTATTGCCTTAATTGCCCACGGGCTTCATATGGAAACATTGTAGCATCCGCTCAATTTATGGAAGGCCGTTGGTGACTTTATTCACATGCCCCAGACGTATGGAACGCGGCACACGTCTGCTAAATAACAGGCAGACGTCTGCTAATTGACCAATCACCGCCAATTATTTAGCAGACGTGTGCAAGGTGCGATAGCACACGTCTGCTAGTTTATTAGCACACGTGTGCCCTTTTCCATACGTATGCTGTTTACTGCGCATGCGTATGGAATTGATCGACCAATCAGATGCCTTGTATGTGTGTGTTTGGACAGTGGGTGCATGCAGCGCAGACGATCAAAAATGTGCCGGGCACGTGTTGATCGACGCACGTGGTACTCTTACCGTTCTTAAAAGTATTGACTTTGATTTCTATGTAAGAAAAGAAGTATACATTATAAAAGTACTTCCATTGAGGTTGGAACTTTCTGATGCAAAAAATAGTATGTCAAATTATAAACGAAGTACCGAACTGCTATATAAACGTTTATCCTCCACCTAGTATTGGAGTATGTAAATACTATAAAGCAGGCGCGGATCCAAGGGGGGGCGAGTGGGCCTTGCCCCCCCCCCCCCCCCGCAAAAAAAAAAAAAGGGAGAAGAAAGGAAAAGAAGGGAAAGGGAAAGAGGAGAGAAAGGGAAAGAAAGAAGAGGAAGAAGAAAAGAAACGGGGGAAGAAGGAGATCGGGGGGGGGCGAAAGGGCCTTGCCTCCAAAGCTGTTGACCCCCCCCCCCCCCCAATCAAAAAAATAAGAGAGAAGGAAGGAAAGGGAAAGAAAAAATGAAAAGATGATATACTGGCGTATAGGTAGGGGGGGGGGGGCACGGGGGAAATCAAATTCAAACGTGGTTTATTTCTAATTAAATAACGGTGGATTGCAAATAATGCTGAAATGACGTAATTCCCGAGATTTTTCCTCATTTTTTAGTAAATGATGCTTTTGTATGTGTTTGTTGGAAAATGACAAATTCCTGAATTTACAGCCAGGCAAGAAATATGATTCTTGAGATGCCTACATGTCAGGGCCCGAGGTACGGCGGGGATCGGGAACCTCGAGCTCCCCCCCCCCCCCCCCCAACTTTTTTGGAAAAAGTATATTAAAGAGAAATAAAAAAGAATGAGAGCAAGAAAGAAAGAATAAACTGCCAGTGTCAAAAAATAATGAGGCATCAAAATATGCTCATCTTAAATGCCTAAAACCCCTAAGCTGCCGGGGGGCTCTGCCCCTGGATTCCACCTAGGGCCCTAAGGCGGGCCCT